CACCCTTCTTTTTGCTTGAGCAGGTGGAAATAAATCAGAGGAGGGAGAGAAAAACAGGGAAGTACAGCTGAACCTAGATTCAAGAGGCCTGGATTCTGTGCCAGCTCCATAGCCAGGTTTTTGACCTTGAGAAATTCTCTTTCCCTGTCTGCCCCCATTCTCTCTTCTTTTTTTTTTTTTTTTCCATTCTCTCTTCTAAGAAGGAGGGGATGCCCTGGATGTGCCCAGACCCTCAGCTGTGCCATCTCCATGGTGCTAAGGCCCACAGAGACACACTCAGGACCTGGAGAGCCGAGACACAGAGCTCCCGGGCATCTCCTTCTGCTGAAAGCTGAGGTAAAGGGCAGCAATCAGGTAATTGAACAAAGGCAAGTTACCCTCAGTGTCTAAGAGAGCCTGCTCAGACACATGCCCAGTCTCCAACACTCCAACTGCTCCTTGCAACTGAGGAGGAAGTGGGACATTCACACAGCAGGAAAGTGTGCAGCCCCAGGGCAAACAGCAGTGCCCCTGCACTCACTTTTTGACAAAATCCGAATCTTCACTCCTTCAGCAACTCTGCTCTAGGGCCTGGTTTGTTGGCAATGGATCCACAGAGTGCAGTTCACAGTCTACGAAATAATAACACCAACAAGGGTCGGGCGCGGTAGCTCGTGCTTGTAATTCCAGCACTTTGGGAGGCCAAGGCAGATGGATCACCTGAGGTCAGGAGGAGTTCGAGACCAGCCTGGCCAACATGGTAAAACCCTGTCTCTACGAAAAATACAAAAATTAGCCAGGCCTGGTGGCGTGCGCCTGTAGTCTCAGCTACTCAGGAGGCTGAGGCAGGAGAATTGCTTGAACCCAGGAGGCAGAGGTTGCAGTGAGCCAAGATTGTGCCACTGTCCTCCGGCCTGGGCAACAGAGTGAGATTCAGCTAAAAAAAGAAAAAAAACCACCCACAACAACAACAAGAAAGCAGAGTGCACCAAATTCAGGAGATGAGGTCCCTTCCTGCTAAGGAAACAAGGAAAGCTTCTTAGAAGAGGAGGCATTTGAGCTGAATCATAAGACTGGATTAAGTATTAAGTGAATGGGGAGAGGCTATTCTGGAGAACAATGTGATCAGAAGCATGGAAGTGAAAAAGAGAAATTCAGTTTGACTAGAATAGGAAGCAGGAAGTGATAAGACAGGGACAAGACCACAAAGGCCTTCAATGCTAGACCAATTAAAAACCCAAACCAGGTCTGTCTTCCCTAAGTGTCTGTGCTTGTCCTTAAGTGTCTGTGCTTGTGCTTGAGGAAAAATAAACTCAATCCATTAAGAAATAGACAGCTACTCAAGCAGCCATGGGTGGAACCCACAGACTCATTTGCAATGGGCTGAATGTCTATGTCCCCCTAAAATTCCTATGTCAAGGTGATGGGATTAGGAGGTAGGGCCTTTGGGAGGTGATTCTCATGAGGTGGAACCCTCAGGAATGGGATTAGTGCCCTTATAAAGAGGATCCCAGAGAGCTCCCCTTCCACCATATGAGTACCCAGGAAAGTAGGCCCTCAGCAGACACCCAATCAGCCAGCGCCTTGATCTTGGACTTTCCAGCCTCTAAACTGAGAGAAATAAATTTCTATTGTTTATTTTTTTATTTTTATTTTTTTTTTTGAGACGGAGTTTTGCTCTTGTTACCCAGGCTGGAGTGCAATGGCGCGATCTCGGCTCACCGCAACCTCCGCCTCCCGGGTTCAGGCAATTCTCCTGCCTCAGCCTCCTGAGTAGCTGGGATTACAGGCACGCGCCGCCATGCCCAGCTAATGTTTTGTATTTTTAGTAGAGACGGGGTTTCACCATGTTGACCAGGATGGTCTCGATCTCTTGACCTCGTGATCCACCGGCCTCGACCTCCCAAAGTGCTGGGATTACAGGCGTGAGCCACCGCGCCCGGTCATTTCTATTGTTTATAAACCAACCAGTGTATGGTACTTTGTTATAACAGTCCAAACAGACTAAGACACTCATCAATTGGTTTCCCCTCACCAACAGCTTCCCTAATTCAACTGTGGGTTTAGTAGGCTTGAGGTGGAAAGCGGCCTCTACTTAATATTTATTTTCTTTTTCCTGAAAAACAGAATAAGTATTGAGAAACCATTGCAGGAGTCAAAGGTCAAAGATAAATTGTAAAGGAAGATCTGATACAAGAGCCAACAAACATGAAAAAATGCTCAAGGGCCAGCTGTGGTGGCTCATGCCAGTAATCCCAGCCCTGTGGGAGGCTGAGGTGGGAAGATCACCTGAAGTCAGGAGTTCAAGACCAGCCTGGGCAACACAGCAAGACCTCTGTCTCTACAAAAAATTTAAAACACTAGCTGGGCATGGTGGCACGTGCCTGTAGTCCCAACTACTCAGAAGCTGAGGCAGAAGGGTTGCTTGAGCTCAGGAGTTCAAGGCTGCAATGAGCTACAATGACATCACTGCACTCCAGCCTGGATGACAGAGTGAGATCTCATCTCAAAACAAGACAAAACAAAACAAGCCTCCACATCATTAATCATTAAAGAAATGCAAATTAAAACCACAATGAGATACCATCTCACACGAGTCAGAATGGTCATTATTAAAAAGGCCAAAAGTAGATACTGTATTGGCAAAGCTATAGAGAAAAGGCAATGTTTATACACTGTTGGTGGGAGTGTATCAGCCATGGTGGAAAGCAGTTTGGAGATTTCTCAAAGAACTAAAAGTAGAGCTACCATTTGACCCAACAATTGCATTACTGGATATATATGCAAAGAAAAGTAAATCTTCTACCAAAAAGATACCTGCAGTTGCATGTTTATCACAGCACTATTTGCAATGGCAAAGACATGGAATCAACCTAGATGCCCATCAGCAGTGGACTGAATAAAGAAGATGTGGTACATATACGCCATGAAATACTACACAGCCATAAAAAAAATGACATCATGTCCTTTGCAGCAACATAGATGCACCCAGAGGCCATAATCCTAAGTGAATTAACACAGAAACAGAAAACCAAATGTTGTGTATTCTCACTTAGAAGTGGGTGCTAAACTTTGGGTACACACAGACAGAACAATAGATGGTAGACTCCAAAATGTGGGAAAAAGAGGAGCGGGGAAAGGGCTAAGAAACTTCCTACTGGTTAATATGTTCACTGTCTGGGTGACAGGACCAGTAGAAGCTCGAACTTCAGATTCACACAATATACCCTGCGCCTCCTGAATCTCAAAATTACAATTTAACTACATAAATAAATAAAGGAGGGCCTAAACACAACTCTCATATAGATAAAACACAAACATCTGCCCAAGACTTTATTTAACTCATCAATTAATAAAGGAACCAATAAGTGTTATAATTGGGTGAATTCAAAAAACCATAGGCCGTCAAGAATGTTGAAATCAGTTTGCTCAATAGATTAAAAAAACTGGTCAATCTCCACAGTGCAACAATCACCACCTGCACCTCCACCAGACACAGTTTGCACTGCTATAGACAAGAATCGTGTGTGTTACCATCAATATTCTACAACTTACAGAGTGCAACATACCTCAAAGACAAGGAAAGGCCAAGAGACCCAGAGAATTCGATAACCAGACCACACCTAGATTTCCACTGTGGACATTCACTAGGCTTTTTGATCCATCTCAAAGTCTTTCCCAGTTTTTCCCTACATGGGTGAACACTGATCAATGTGTAGACCATAAACTCTCAGGCATGCATTTCAGGGGAAATTGCAGTGAGGACTAAAGCCTGAAGTTTAGAACTAAGGCATCTGCCTGGACCATCAAGGCTCAGCAGGTTAGGAGGCCACCAGTTAACCATGTCTACTGGTTAACTTTATACTAATTAGGATCTCTGGCTGTGAGCAAGTTCCTCCCCTTCCCTTCTCCAGGAGAATCCAAAACGAGGAGCCCCAAACCAATGGTGGTCAGCCCTGACCATACCCTGGAAGTATCTGAGAAATTGTGAAAAAATACACTTGCTCCATTCTAGAAATTTCAAGGGTGATGCCCTGGCCCTACCCTTGATTAGCAGAATCAGAGCTAAATCCTAATCAGACAGGATTAGCTAGGAATCTCAATAATCTGATTCTGCTAATCAGGGTGGGGCCAGGGCATCGCTGGGCTTTAAAGTCTCCACAGGTGATTCTAATGAGCAGCCAGGCTTGCAAACCACGAGGCCAGATGGGAAGAAAGATCCCTTCATCCCTGACACACTATGACTCTGCTGTAACATTCCTTTTAGTATCGGATTGAGAATATCAGCAGGACATTTTCCAAAAATACTCAAAATTAATCTTTGGCAGATACCAGAAAATACGTACAATCCACAACTTAGTCAGACGTGGCAAACATGCAGTGTGTTAGAATCTTCCACTGGGAGCAGCTGCCAGATTCCTGATGGGCTGCTTGCATTATGATGCATGTACTGGAGTTCAAAGATGCCCACAGGTGTGTGCTAGGTAGGCACCACCTGTGCACGGGTGGCGTGCACACATACCTTATGCTCATATAGCAGTCTCCAAATCAAAGACTGGGTAGGGAAAGTGGTTACAGAGTAATAAAGGACACTCCCCCCATCACCACCACCTCACACTGGGGTAGCTGACTAATCTCTTTTTGTTGGCTGGTCCCCACAGTGGGGGAGAGAACTGACAAATAGGGTAGACATGGTGAATCCCAGCACCTCCTCCCAAATCTTCTGAAACCTCTTCTCACATATTACAAACCTGATGTGACTAGGGATCACTCTGAACTCATTCAATTTATCACCAGAATCACAAGCAATCTTTGGTATTATGTTAAGTCACCGTGCCCTGATTGGCCTCTGTTGGTGGTAAGAAACCCTGCTGTAAAAGACACTGTCTGGCTTTTCTGTGGGGCTGAGGACGGCCATGGACCAACTGTCTTCAGAAAGATGATCTTCCCTCTCCTCCCTTTCTCGGTCCCCATGTTCCTTACCCATCCCCTACACACCCGACACGCGCACCCACACTTACTGCAAGCTGCACAGGTGAAGCATGTGTCGTGGTAGAGGTTCCCCATGGCCTGGCAGGCCTGGCCAGCCCCAAACACCCCTTTGCTGCATTTCACACAGGCTCCTACAAGGACAAGAGAAACATCAGTGAGTCAGGAGGGAACCAGCATAAACAGAGTCATAAAAAAGCCAATGAACAAAGCACAATCCCATCCCTCCCCGTGGCCAGCCCATCACCAAATCCAGTGGTAAGAAACCCTTTTTCTCTCCCTTTCCCTCTGTCACTCTTCTAACTATCAGTCCTTCCAACTACAGAAAACAAGTACTAGGCTGGACTCAGGTCCCACTTCCCTGCCCCATGCTGTCCATCACACTGCTATGCTAACATTCAGAATACCTGGCCTTGGTCAACTTTCTCCCCAATCACCCAAAGCTTCTGAAGGTTTATAAGACAGTTCAGAAAAATTGCACCATCACGATAATATGCCAAACATGCAGGCTGGGCAAGTCCTTTTTTTTTTTTTTTTGAGACGGGGGTCTCAGTATGTTGCCCAGACTGATCTTAAACTCCTAGGCTCAAGCGATCCTCCTGCCTCAGCCTCCCAAAGTGCTGAGATTACAGGTGTGAGCCACCATGCCTGGCCAGACAATTCCAACTAAATTATTTCCTTCAATTTTCAATGGGAACCACCAACTAGGATTTATTAACCTCAATATTTACAAAAAGTAAGTCACACCCCAAACCCCAGGTTTGTCAGACTGTAAGCAAGCGCTCTTCCCTGCCCTTCCACCTGCAGCCCCTCACCTCTTAACAAATCCCACAGGGTCTGAGCTCAGCCTTTGCTGACGGGCCCCTACCTAGCACACTCCACTCCTGCCCTGTTCACTCAAGTCCTGAGGCTTCCATCTCAGCCTGCTCACAACTCCTTCCTCAACCTCTACAGCTCTCTTACTCTGGAGGCAACAGGACAAACCAGAAATTTAAAGAGCTGGTCAAGTGTCATGGCTCATGCCTGTAATCCCAGTGCTTTGGAAGGCCAAGGCAGGAGGATTGCCTGAGGCCAGGAGTTCAACACCAGCCTGGGCAACACAGGGAGACCATCCATCTCTAAAAAGAAAGAAAGAAAAGAAGGAAGGATGGAAGGATGGATAGGAGGAAGGAAGGGAGGGAGGGAGAGAGGGAGGAAGGGAGGAAAAGATGAGAGGGGAGAAGAAGGGAGGGGAGGGGAGGTGAGGAGAAACACTTTTTTGAGATGGAGTATCACTCTGTCGCCCTGGCTGGAGTGTAGTGGTGCAATCTTGGCTCACTGCAACCTCTGCCACCCGCGTTCAAGTGATTCTCCTGCCTCACCCTTCCAAGTAGCTGGGAACACAGGTGTGCACCACTAAGCCAAAGTAACTTTTCTATTTTTAGTAGAGACGAAGTTTCACCATGTTGGCCAGGCTGGTCTCAAACTCCTGACCTCAGGTGATCCCCCGCCTCGGCCTCCCAAAGTGCTGGGATTACAGGTGTGAGCCACGGCGCCTGGCCCGAAGAAAACAAATTTAAAGAGGCAAGTTCTATCTTTGAGCCTCCCACCTACCCGTGACTTCTGTACCTTGGGTTAATGATGACTGGCTCTGTGCGTGTCCCTTTCTTAATTAGGAAATAGAGGTTCATTCCATCTGCCCTGGATGTTCTCAGTAGCAGCAATTTAAAAAGGTTGGTTTGTAAACCAAAAAGTTCTAACGAGTTCATCTGCCTCAACTACAAAGTGCTTACCGGGAGACCTGGTCTAGAACAGCTCCACGATTTACTAGCTATGTGACTAGGGCAGACTAATTAAACTCCGATGTTGGGCTAGAAAATGGGGACAACAGGCTGGGCATGGTGGCTCACGCCTGTAATCCCAGCACTTTGGGAGGCCAAGGCAGGCAGATCACAAGGTCAAGAGGTCAAGACCATCCTGGCCAACATGGTGAAACCTCATCTCTACTAAAATACAAAAATCAGCTGGACGTGGTGGTGCGCACCTATAGTCCCAGCTACTTGGGAGGCTGAGGCAGGAGAATTGCTTGAACTCGGGAGGTGGAGGTTGCAGCAAGCCGAGATTGCACCACTGCACTCCAGCCTGGTGCCCGGCACAGAGCGAGACTCTGTCTCAAAAAAAAAAAAAAAAAGAAAAGAAAGAAAATGGGGACAACAGTGGCCCCCACATAGGGTTACTGTGAGAGAACATGTGCGAAGTCCTTAGTGCAAGGCCCCACACTTGGGAAATGCTCAATTAACAGGCAAATCATAAGGACAACAGTCACGTTACTGCCTCCTGGAAGCAGTGCCTTCAGCATAAAAAGAGCTGTCTAAGAAGTTTTGGGCCTTGGCTGGGCACGGTGGCTCACGCCTGTAATCCCAGAACTTTGGGAGGATGAGGCAGGCAGACTGCCTGAGGTCAGAAGTTAGGGACCAGCCTGGCCACCATGGTGAAACCCCATCTCTACTAAAAATACAAAAATTAGCTGGGCATGGTGGCATGTACCTGTAATCTCAGCTACTTGGGAGACTGAGGCAGGAGAATCACTTGAACCCAGGAGAGGGAGGCTGCAGTGAGTCAAGATTGCACCACTGTACTCCAGCCTGGGTGACAAGAGCAAGACTTCATCTTAAAAAAGTAATAATAATAATAAAGTTCTGGGCCTCCCAGGATCTCACACGGGGTCTGTCAATAAGATAGAGGTCTCTCAGAACCCTGACAGCAGCAGCCCAGGCTCTAGGCCCATCCACATCAAGGAGGACTTGGAGTCTCCCTTCCAACGAACTCCCCCAATACAGTCAAATGAAAGATAGCACAATTACGTACACAATGCACAAGATGAAAAAAGATTCACAGGGAAATATATTAAAATATAAACAGTGGTTTCTTCATGCTGTAAAACTGTAGCTGGCTTTATTTCTTTACATCTTCTGTAGGTTTTTTTTTTTTCACAAGACAGCAGACATTACTTTAGAGATTTTAAAAAGTCATCTCAAAAAAGTGTTTGAATATGTTCAAACATACTATATAATGTTAAAATTTTTGAAAATCAACTTCACAGATTTTGTAAATAAAATTGCTCCCCTGGCACCCAGCAAGGTAGCCAGCTGGCATCCTTCGGTCAGTGGGAGCTCAGGCATCCTTTTCTAACTCTGGTTCCAATCTCTCAGGCTGCAAATCCCCAGCCTTCTGCCCACAGGGTAGAAAGCCCTGTGTTTCAAAGTTCATATCATTTCAAATTGATAAACTGCATCACCATCAAAGGAAGTCCAAGCTAACACATCCTTCGTGAAATTCCCCCACACTAGCAGGTTTAAGGAGAAAGCCCCTCTGCCAACACCAGGAAGCAGGGTGAAGCAGTCTGTAGGAAACAGACAAGAAACTGACGATTGGGGAAATTCATTTATAGAAACCTCAAGAGAGCACAAGTATTGGTTATTTGCAGTTCTTCCTCTGTTTCAACATTTTATTACAAACATTTTCAAGCATGCGGAAACGTTGAAATAATTATAGAGAGAATACCCATACACTCACCATCCCAATTCTATAATTAACGTTTCGCTATCCATTCCTCAATCAATCCAACAAGCCATCCTATTCTTGATGCACTTCAAAGTTGCAGGCAGCAACCTCACCCCAAACACTTCAGCCTCCACATCATTAACTAGAGTTCATTATTTATTTGCTTAGGCTTATTTTTTTTCAGGTAAAATTCACAAACAGTGAGACACAAAAAATGTACATCTACCATTCAATAAGTTTTGACAAATGATCTATGTAATACAAACCCAAATGAAAATGTAGAATATTTCCAACACCCCCAAAAAGTTCCTGCATGTCTCCTCCCTTCCATCTTCTCTGTAATGGCTGTGAAATGCATGTGTGTGCATGCGTGTGTGCGCCTGCGGGTGGGGGATGGTGGGGGGGTGGGGGTGGGGATGAGATTACTGGGACTGCTGGCATTTCTGTGCTTAACAAGCAGCAAAGTTAACAGGGAGCTCCCATCACTATGAAATTGAAAGCATCGAGTAATTCAGAGGCATCAGCATTTCTTTCTGTCTAATGATTTTTATACACAACTTAGGTACCTTATGCTCTCAAGGTAGAAAATACAGTTTCGGGCAAACTGCATTCCTTTGCTGGCACACATGCAGCTGGGGGAGCCCACCTAGCAGCAAAGCCTAAATACAACAGGGTTCAGCTGTTAGACTCATCTTTAAAGCTCCTTTAAGTAGGCTCATCACTCTGGGAAGAAGTGGTGTGCATGGCTGCTGCTAGGGGCCCGTGGGCAGTGGCCACTGGAGCAGGCCGGGCCAGGTGGGGCCTCTAGTATTAGGGATGGGGCAAATGTGGAAGTGATGGTGGTAGTGCATCCACCACTTGGCACAGCACCTACCATGCTGTGGTGAGTTGCTGGTTACCTGGGCATTTGCCTGCCTCTCCTAGTGAATTGAAAGTGCCTTCAGAGTAGGGGCCATGTCTTAATTGTGGCCTCCATAAGTGCTCAAGGAAACAAGTGTGAGTTGAATCACATTTCACGTAGCTCCCTGCACAGTCCTTTCCTCTTCCCTCCTTCCCTGGCACCCGCTTCCTTGTATGTTGGGCACACGTCTTTTCCCCCATGAGCACTTCTTATTGAGGCCCAGGGTCTTATTCATCTCTGAACACCCCCAGCCACAGACAAAGTGCACTTAGTATCCCCTCAGCAGACCTAAACACAGAGAAATGGGCTCTACGGACATCTACTGGGCACTGGCTATGACAATTCAAACGTGATGATGCGGGGGAGATTTTTCCAAAAAATGCCGAATATGAGGCAATGGCAAAATGTCAAGGTATGAATTAGGTTATTGTTTGGTAATGCTGAGGTCCACGTCCAGATTACCCATCCTAAGTCCGCCGGTGGACCTAACTCTAAGCCTTTAAAATGAGCAACAAAAGCTAGATTGTCAGGCATCAACCAACGCACACTCGATGCAGGCTGCACGTAATGTCAAAAGTGTACTCGTGAATATAACTCTGCTCACAAACATGGTGTAAAACCACTCCCAAATGCTGTGGCCTCTTTGTTTCACCCCCTGTGAAATGCTGGCTACAAAGAGCAGACGGGCAC